GAGAATTTCTTACTCCGTTGTACTCATTTCTTCATTTCCTTGCTTTGTATTGATTATCTAAGTGTGTAGTATTTTATCCAACACTTGAATCTTGTTTATGGTTATATTCATAATTAAAGTGTGGATTAAATATCTTATTGTGCTTATGTATTGAATGATTTTTATCTTTTTATGAAGTGAGTTATTGTTTCTTTAATTATTCTTGTTCTTTAATGTTTCCAAAGGGATTAGCTAACCCTAGGACTCGCCCATTAACTCCGGACTAATTTTGGGAAAGATTATTTGGGGTTGGGAATGATTAATTAACAGGAACTTGAGGCTTTAACCCTCACTTTATAGATTCTACCTAGGGATAGGATTGGACTACTTGTAGCCATATCCCGGTGTGCTTAAAATCTTAATTATTTTAGGAATAATTCAATTGGGAAGTCTTGTTAGTCTTTGACAGAAGCTAATATATAATTATTACCCGTGGCTAATTAACATAAATTCACTCATATTTGTAAAATCGTGAAATACATTGGATCGTTAATTGAGTGTAATTCCCTATGCATCCATACTTGTAGCCATTGATCAATTTACTTGCTTTCGAGGTTAGTTTACATTTCCGCATTTAGGTGTAGATATTTTCTCAAATCAATTCTAAGTGTTTGGCATTGCATAACAAGTGATAAATCTCTTATATTCCTAATCGCCTATATATTGTTCTCTGTGGGAATCGACTCTGACTCATAGTTGGGTAAATTATATTACATGCGACCGTGTCCATTTACTTTTTAGTAGTGGATTTGGACGTCATCAAAATTGGTGTCGTTGTCGGGGAACAATTTGGCGTAATTTAGGTTGTTTGAGAAATAAGCTTAAGTGCTTTGGTCCAAACTTGTAAATATTTGCATAATTATTTTTTCTTACTTTGGTCTATTTTTGAAAAATGGCATCATATAATGAAAATTGGTCGGATGGTAGTTGTTCATTATTTGATGATCCTTGTCCTTATTGTGGAGGACCACACTCATGGCAAAATTATTTAAATTTCCCGGGGGTGAATTGTGTGCACAATCTCAAACCCATGGGTGGAGGATTTGTGATAAGTGTGGTCGCCAAAATGGTCACTGAGAGTATTGTGATTATTTTTCCTTCCCTTCCCCAAGCCCCCGCTATGATGATTCTACTTTTTGTGATGAAAATGATAGGGCTATGAAAATGGAAGAAGTTGAGCATGGTCAAAATGGAGAGTTCACGCTCATGTTAGAGTGCCTAATTGAAGGAAGAAACAAAGAACAAAGTGCCTTGGATGAGCTTTTGGAAAATAGTCTCCAAAATGACTTGGCACTTGAAAGGTTGAACTTACAAATGGAAGAAATGCTTGAATCTTTAGATGTCCAAAAAGCCTTGGAAGTTAATGATAGCCAAGAATCCTTCTTGGAGGTTGAAGCCGAAAATCCTTCCTTGGCGCGTGATCAAAACCAAGAAGAACTCTCAGATGCTCAAAATGAGAAGATGATGCTCATGTTGGAGACCATTCTTGCAAATGAGAAGAAGCACAACTTTGCACTCGAGGACTTGAAACAAAGCTTGACTCACAATGATGAACATATCCGCACTTTGGAAGATCAAATGAAAATATTGGTTGAGGCTCACTATGCCCAACAACTTGAGAGTGTGGAAGGAAGTTAAGAAGAGTCCGATTTCGAGGAAGAAAGTGATCTCTACTTTGAGGAATCAAGAATTAAACATCCGCCAACCGACTCCATGAGTGTTAGTGATGCCAAGAAAAATATGGAATTAGAGTCAACCAATGTAAATAAAAATTTGGTTGAGATTGCCTCTAGTCCGGAGGAAAAAGAGGATGTCAAGATCCAGGAAGAATTACAATTTGGAGGGTTGATATCACATTCCAAGCATTTTTCAACATTAGAATTGTGTGGTGAAATGGGAATTGAACTACACGAGTCAATGAGGGATTGAGAGGAGGAAAGACAAAGGCCATACATTTTACAATTTGAGGGAACAAGAAGGCAAAATGACATTCCTCATATGAAAGCCAAGAAGTGCAAAATGAAGAAATTAAGTCTTGGCTTGATCATCTACTTACCACCACCCACTGTTCGTGATCACAGGCTTTATTCCAAGTTGGGTGCCCAATTCATATTGTCCAAGTGGCGAGAAAAGTGGTAAAGTTATTTTGCGTCGTGCCACGACGTTAAACGCGGCGCTTGGTGGGAGGCAACCCAACGTTTTTAAAATTTTTAGTCCTTTTTGAAATTTTCTTTTTTGGAATAGCTTAGAATATTATTTTTTAACTAATCTCCCAAGTCTTAGATTGTTTGGAGCTAAATTGAGGAGGTTGAGAATTGGGAATGCATCAAGGCAGTGGCTGCCCAGAAACAAACTGCTGAACACAGGAGTTCTCGCACCTGCGGTCTGGGAATGCACAGGTGTGCTTGCGTAGAAGAGGATAAATAAATTCAGATGCGGTAGAAACCATAAGTGCGATTTCTTTTGCGCATAAGTGAAAGCACAGAAGCGCTTAAAAATCTACAGGTGCAGAAATCGAGGAATCTTAATGATCTAATTTGCTCATTTCCCTCAGGTATCTTCTGCTTTTGTTCTCCCAACCCTAAACTCCTCCATCTCTAACATACTCCAAAACCTCCACTGCTCGTGAATTCTAGTGCACTCACACAAGACACAGGTATTTTCACTTGGTTCTCATCTACTCCTCTCTCCCTTTGTCTTCTCTGTTCTCCTTCTTCTTTTCTTTGGCCTTTCATGGCCGTGTCCCTCTAGTCCCAAGACCCCCTCTGATTTAGGCTAATATTAGNCTTTTCTTTGGCCTTTCATGGTCGTGTCCCTCTAGTCCCAAGACCCCCTCTGATTTAGGCTAATATTCGGGTGTGGAATTTGATTGAGAGTAGGTTAGTGTGTGCTGCTTACTATGAAATATATTTGTGGGAAATCAGAGTACCCAATTTGTGTGAAGAAGAGACGATTTTAAAGTGCCTGCAAAGTGTTCGACAAATCGTTCAAAAGAAAATTGTGTGTTAGGTACCTGAAATTCAACATTAATAGAGTCAAAGGTCCATTTTGTATACTAATTTAGAAGTCTCGAGTACAAATTAATTGCTAAAAATCATGCCACAAATGAAAATTTATGGGCATTTGAACCCTTGGACGAACACCACAGATGGTATCAAGATTTCGCAGATGCGGTCTCGCACCTGCGATGATTTTTCCGCAGGTACAATTTTGGACAAACTTAACAAAATCACAGATGCGGTAAAAATTCTGAAGAAACGGGACCGCTCCTGCATTTAATCTTCCGCATGTGCGACCACAATCCTCACACCTGCGAGCTCGAAGATGCAGAAGGAGCCTCGCAATCTGCGAATCCTGCCTGGCCCAAAGCCCCTTGCATCTGCGAGCAGCCTCTCACTTTTGTGTGTCCGCACTTGCGGCTAAACCCTCCGCAAATGCAATGACACCAGAACAACAGTGCTTCAGCAATGCATTAAGTTCAACATTATTCTGGATTCAATCCGAATTCAATCATATTGAAACTATGAACTACAGAATTTCAAAACTAATGTCGATTCATACCAAAACAACTCCGATAGAGTGTAAATTTTGCACACAAGTCATAAGTGACATGACAGACCTATTCCAACTTTAGAATTCGGAATTAAACCTAGATATTAAAAAAGCCAACTCACAGTCAAACTTTCTAACTTTCCAAACCTTCAACTTTCTAACTTTCGCCAATTCACGCCGAAACGACCTACGGACCACCAAATCAACATCCGGACGCTATCCTAAGTCCAAAATCACCATACAGAGCTATTGGAACTATCAACACTTCATTCCGGAGTCATCTACGTAAAATTTAAATTACGGTGAACTTTTTCAACTTAAACCTCCAACTTAGGGACTATATGTCTTATTTCACTCTGAAGCTCACCTGAAACCAAAACCAAACATCCCCAACAAATCGCATAACCATAATACCACATAGAGGAGGAAATAAATAGGGGATTGGGGCTAAAATACTCAAAACGGCCGGTCGAATCGTTACATTCACTCCCTCTAAGATTACAAAAAGATAAATGAAAATTCTAAAAAGTTATCCGTCAGTGACATACAACTGATTTTGATGGTCATATCTTTTGCTACGAAAATCAAACTTTTATGACACTTTATCGGGCATTCTTTCATAGTAAGAACCATCTTTTTGTGACCTTGAATATATATATGTAAAAAATAACAAAAAACACTGACAGTAATCTATAGAATAATATGTAATCTTCAATTCCCATGAATTAAGAAATATGATGAAACTAAAGAAGAATGACAGTATTTTAATCAAAACAATGGATGCTCAAGATCATATTTAAAGTTAGTGGTATTTAATTTTAAAAACCTAAATATATTATTTTAGTCCTAAACATGTACATGTTTTACTATTGTTATTTGCAATGGGATGCTTTACTGATGTTAGATAAGAGATCGGCTACTTTAATATTCATAAATTATTAGAATTTTATAGTCAATTAAAGAAACTCTATTCATTTTTGTCATTATTTATGTTGCAATAAATTAGAATCGTTTAAGTTTCCAAGTTTACCTAAATAACGTTAGGTAAGTTTTATAAGTTTTCTATTGTTTCGTTTTGTTAGAATAAGAAAATCTTTTAATTGATTTTAAAGGCTTAAACCTAATGCAAATAAGAAAAAATTTAATAAACTAAATTTTATTTGATTTTAATGTCCTAAATATTTGGAGATCCGACAAAAGACAATATTGTCTGATGTCAAATCATGTTTAAGGGATAAAAAAAGCGAACGATATTTCACTAAGAGCATTCGTACTTTTAATATAGTATAAATATAAATATAAATATAAATAGATAGATATAGATATAGATTACTACTCCACTACTTTTCCTTATCTTCGGATTAGTACTAATCTTCATATTAGATACGTACTAATCTAACTTATCGTACACTTTTCTATGGAAAGTGCTATAAATAGTGTAGATAGAGCCTTCAGAAATCACAAGGAAATTAAAATCATGATCAGAAATTTTAAATTTCCACACATTTTTTATTTTTTTCAAATGGTTTCTGCTTTCTTTAGCTATATTACTACTCTATGGCAAATTTTCTTTTCCATAATCCTTAAGATAACAAGCAAATTATTGAGTATTACAAGAAATAAGCCATTATTGCCTCCAGGTCCAAAACCATGGCCAATAGTTGGTTGCATTACTCAAATGGTACTAAACAAGAAGCCAGCATTTGAGTGGATACACAAACTAATGGAGGAAATGGATACTGAAATTGCTTGCATTCGTCTTGGTAATGTTCATGTCATTCCTGTCACTTCTCCTGAGCTTGCTTGCCTATTTTTAAAGAATCAAGACTCGATTTTCTCATCGAGGCCTATTTGCATGTCCGCGAACCTCGTTAGCAATGGCTACTTGACTTCGCTTTTTCTCCCTATGGGTGATCAATGGATGAAAATGAGAAGAATCCTTTCTTCCCATGTCCTCTCAGCTACATCTTTTCAATGGCTTCGTCGTAAGAGAGATGAAGAAGCTGACCATATTCTTCGATTCGTTTATGAACAGTGCATTAACAAACGTCTTGTTATTAACTTGAGGAAAGTGACAAGATACTATTGTGCAAATGTTATTAACAATATGATTTTCAGCAAGAGATTACTTGGAAAAAGTATAATAGAAAATGGAGGACCATTAGTAGAATTGCAAGAAGATCAGGAGAAGCAAATTGATGCATATTTAACACTTCTTGAATATTTTCATTCTTTTAGTATCTCAGATTACTTACCATGGTTAAGTGGATTTGATTTAGANGTTCATTGTTTTATTATCTCAGATTACTTACCATGGTTAAGTGGATTTGATTTAGATGGTCACAAGGCAATTATTAAGAAAGCCTTTGCCATAGCAACAAAACCCATTGATCTTGAAATTGACCAGAGGATTCATATTTGGAAGAATGGCAAAAAAGCCGTGGAAGAAGACATCCTTGATGTCCTTATCATGCTCAGAGATACTAATGGGAATCCTATGTTGAATGCTAAAGAGTTTAAAGCACAAGTCCTTGTAAGTATACTCTCTTAAACCATGTGAACAACATGATAAACTTTAAGATTTTCATTTTTACTTTTAGTGACGTGCTTTTACGGCTATAAATATCATGACATATTTATAGTCATAAGTTTCAAAAATCTCTTTCTTAAGCTCAGCATCCAATCAAACAGCGTCATATAAATCAAAATAGACTAGTAAGATTTCGTTAGAAACTGCTACATCTGTCTTGAATCTTGCTTAAAATCAATTCCAATATTTTTTTACCATATAAATTAATTAAAATTCAACATTACTTGATGACTTTTCTTGATTTATTCCCTATGTTCCAGTTTATGTTGAACTTTTTCGTTTTTCGAGAGTCAATTTAACTTATCTTTGAAGCTAAATTGAATTAGATTAACTCGATATTTAAAGTTAAAATTTAGATATTCAAATTTTATACAAAAAGTACTATAACTTTTAATTCTTCCCATGTTGATATGATGAAAAAATGTCTTTCAAAATGTACGTAGTTTGAATCTTGAAAAGCAAAAATGTTCACATAAATTGGAACGAGGGAGTAGTTTCTGAAGAATTTGGAAAATATTTTTGAAACATAAGTCAAAAGATCGATTGTCCGTTTGGATTACATCATTTTATTGAAACATAAAGTTTGTTTTTAGAAAAATCAAATACGATTATTTCGTTTGACCTTCTTGGTTACCAATTATAATAACAGGAACTCATGCTTGCTACGATAGATAATCCCTCATATACAGTCGAATGCACAATCAAAGAACTATTGAACCAACCAAAGATAATGCAAAGGGCCATAGAAGAGATTGACAATGTCATTGGGAGCAATAGATTGGTTCAAGAATCCGACTTGCCACAGTTAAATTATGTCAAAGCTTGTATTAAAGAGTCCTTTCGACTACATCCCTTGGCGGCTTTTAACGCTCCTCATGTGTCTGTATCGGATTCTGTTGTTCATGAATACTTCATTCCAAAAGGGAGTGTAGTGTTATTAAGTCGTCTTGGACTTGGCCGAAACCCTAGAGTTTGGGATGATCACATGAAGTTCAAGCCAGAGCGCCATATCAGCAAGGAAGGTGGTGATGTAGTTTTCACTGATTCAGAGTTACGTTTCTTATCATTTAGTATTGGACGACGAGGTTGTCCAGGTGTAAAACTTGGCTCAACAATTACCACTGTTACTTGCTAGGCTTATTCAAGGGTTTACTTGGAGTTTACCATTGAACTCTCCAGGCAATGACTTGACTGATGATTACCCGGAATGTGCTCTCCTTAGTACCATGCCATTTTTCGCTAAGGCAAAACCGCGATTGCCTAAAGACATGTACCCTTAAATATGTGAAATTATACCAAAATAAAGTATGTACGTACACATCATGTATGTGTAAATATTTATATAGGATATTTTCTTGTTGCTATAGTATTTATGAGAGGATGAATCAATAATATTGGTGTGATCAATATTTTAAAGGTGACGTGGCACTCCTTAAGACCAGAATTCATTTTTTTTCGTTCTCAATTTTGGTTTTTTTTTTCTTCTTTTAAGGAAAGAAACTATTCAAAAGTGTCTTTTCCTATGATTCAAATTGTCTTCATTGGGTTGGTTTTCAGTACACTCATTTTTTTGTATCATTATTTTGCTGCAGTAATAGCTGCCATTACTATCTTCTTCTACACNTATATCATTATTTTGCTGCAGTAAAAGCTGTCATTACTATCTTCTTCTACATTTAGTGTTAGTGAAATTACAAGTCATTACAGTTCAAAAATAAGATAAACAAATATTCTTCAGGCTGAGGCGCAGATATATCATTCTCTTTAAATAGATTTAAGCTCACTGCGGTAGCATCTTCACCGGTCCAGCAGTAATACTCTTAACTTGTCCCCTCTAGGATACAACAGCCCGACAACGTCGTATGATTCGAACAAACTCTGGACAAGCTGTTGAGTCCAAAGCTCCACCAAAATGAACACATTCCTTCAATAAAAATAATACTCTTTTGTAGAGAATAAGTTAGAGACTTAGATTTTCTCCTTCTCTTAACTCTCTTTTTCACTACACTAAGTTCACTTTTTTCATACACAATACCATATTTTCCCACACCAAACACAAGGAAGAAATATCACTATTTTTAGGTGTAGAATTTCTTCCATGAAATAAATAACAAAGTAGTGGCATAATAAAGTTATAGAACATGGTTGGTGGTTAAAAATTTAACATTTAGTAGGTAATTAGTGGTAGATCATGGCATTAGTTGTTTAAAGAGTTACACCAAGATAATGACCACTTTCTTGTCTATTTATAACCATTATCTCACAAGAAATAATGTACTTTAATATTAAAAAATGCACTAACACCAACACTTAGAAAGAACACGTCTTCTTACTTTTGCATCCATGTAAAAACTAAGGCGAGTCATGGTGTGGTAGGCAATTATCGCGGTTCGACCATCAAACCTTAGCTTGTTTGGTGACTGCTTAATCCAATATTCTAGTCTGACGGTAAAAACTTACTCGCATTGATATTTACACCAATTATACGAATATGGCTTCCTTTTGGAAATAGGCCTTAGCATCCTACTTAAGCTGGATCCAAATGGCCAATTAATATACCAAGATTTGACATTTCCAATTGTCATGAACGATTTCATTTGTTTCCATATATATTTATATATATATATATATATATATTAAAAACACGAAACCTCTTACCATAATATTATTAGTTTTTTTTCCTTTAAAAATCAATTTTACATTATGTAAAATAGTCGTTTAATTTAAACCTAATATTTAGGAATAATTATTTAATTATTTCTCATAATACTTAGGAATACGAAATCAACTAAATTATATGTATTTATTAAACATTCCTTATGTGAAAAAGCAACAAAAATATGTAAAGCTAAGTAGGAAGGTATTAACTGAACAAAATATATGGAAATGATCGTTGGTCGTATCAGTTTCTTAGAGGTAAAATTTCCTTTATTTATATTGTTTCTCTTATTTCGTCCTAGACTATATGCGTCATTCATTTTTCAGTGTAATTAACATATGAAATTCTTGTAGATGAATAGATTGTATTAAAAACGTAAACTTAGCAACTTGATCAAACGTTTCCATTATCTATTTCTTAGACAAATGTGTTCGCCTTTTTCAGTCTTTAAAACATTTCACATTTGATAAAATAATCATTTAATAATTTTTTTAGTATTTATCAACTTTAAAATCAATTAAGATTATGACTATCAAATCTTTCATTATTAGAACTATATATGAAATTCTAATATTTAAGAATTAAATTAGAATAAGATTATATTTATGTAAAAAGAATTCTTTGTTGAATCATGTATAATAAATATAATTTCCTTCCTCAATGAACTAATGTATATAGAATTAATACTTGAAATTTTCTTGAAATTTTAACTTTGAAGTAGGACATGAAGCAAACTGATAATTCCTTTGAAAAAAAAAGGAGAAGAAATCAGAATAGATAAATGAAAGGAAAGATAGGATGGCAAAAAAAAAAAAAAAAAAAAAAAAAAACGAATGGAAGAAAAGTGATGGGTCAAAAAAATTAAGTCGTTAATTAATAAATTGAAGGAAAAAAATGAAATTTGTAAAAAATATTTTGATATTTCTTTTTGCTTCAAGTTTTGAATTTTAATATCAACTTTACATTTAAAACAAGAAATATAATTTTAAAAAATACAATGTCACTCATCATATTGTTTATCTTAATTTTTTTTTCTATTATACATTATCGTCTTAATTGTTTTTAGTATTACGAGTATTCTATTTTTGATGTTTGGTTATAAGTAGGAGTTGGGTAAGATATTACAATTATTTTATAATTTTAATGAACTAACATCAAAGTTTTTGAGTCCGGAACCAAAATGTGTTTTTTTTTTACTCAAAATACGCAAATAAGTGTTAAAAAAAAAGTTACCAAACTATATATAACGCCAAAAATAGTGGCGCTATACAGTAACGGTAATTGCACCGTTACTGTATAGCGCCACTATTTGTGGCGTTATATATGGTAAAACTGACACACCTTACATAGCGCCACTATTAATTGCGCTATACCCCTTATTACCTGACCCCACTAATAATTTCTAGGTTCAATAATTCAAAAGCATATAAAGCCACTTTTAGTGGCGCTATATACAAAAAAAAACCTCTTCGGCTAACCATTTCCTATATAAACATCGTAGAATCACTACAACTTCATTCAAAAAATTTTTTAACTCTTGTTGGTTTCTATTGTTGTTAAATTCTCCAGTATTTTTTTATTATTTCTGAAGAACGTAGAAAAAGAGTATCATTATATTGGGGGTGAGGTTGTGATGGAGAATAACTCTGTGGGCTACAGTTTACCTGCTAAGTGTAATGTTAAATTGCCACTTTCAATGGAGTACGAAACATTGATATCGTTGTTATGCAAAAAAATGAGTGTGAGAAAACGTTCAGTGATACTCAAAGTAACTGGAAGATATCCGTATTCTGTTACGCCGCAANCTGAGGACTCTGGACGAATGTCGGGGATTTCTTGTAATCACAATGTTGGAGAGACGGTCGAAGACGTTCCAAAAAACGAGGTTGTGCGTAGTAGAGATAACCCCCAATCATCGGGTGGTTATTCTGGATCAGTTTTTGCCGGACATGTTCCGGACGAAAGATTTTTTCTTGATTTAAATTTATCACCGTCGGCGAATGAGCAGCAAGAAAATAATTTATACCCTGCTTTCCATAATTCACAAGAAGAGTGGTAAACTTCAATTTTCATTTGTGTTAATTATGTATATTTTTGGCGTATTGAATTAATTTTAACGCTCACTTATTTAATAGGGGTACCGGTCGGATATGAATTTTACAAGTGGCCCATCCGGTAGTCATCACCTAACTAAAAACGTCCATCATGGAATGTCATCACATTACGACTTGTAAGTGAAATGATATAGCCATATATAAAGCATTTATTAATTTAGTAGCTTATATTTTTGTTGAAATGTGCAGTGAAAACGAGCAAGTTGAACTACCCGTACTCACTCAATTGCCCGAAAACGACGTATTACATCAGGATCTGGCAGATGAACAGAGTGAGGAAGAGAACAGCGATTACGATAACAATGCCGATGAATCGGGAGACGAGACACCATTTGCTCGTGAGGATGGTGATGAAGAGGACGAGGAGGAAGGACCTAATTTGAAGAGAGCCCCCCATAGACGAAAAGTGTACGAGTCTGGAATGTCGTTTCATTCAAGGGAGATTCCTTATATTGATAACTTGCCAGCCGTGCCGGATGTGGAAGCTCTCACAAGGGATTTTGATGAAATCCGGACAGCAATGTAGGATGAGTCTAGACCAACGGTGCTTGCAAAGGGAATGCTTTTTCCTGATAAAGCACGCGTAAGCAGGGCTTGTAAAATGCACAATGTTAAAGAGTGTCGTGAGATGCAGGTATCGGAGTCAAGTCCAACGGTATACAAGGCTATTTGCCGAAGGTGGTTTTGGCCATGTAATTGGATGTTGCGTGTGTCGAAGAAGAAGACAGGTATGTGGAAAGTGGGTAAATACATTCCCACCCACACATGCGAAATGGACACTTTCAATGAGAATCACTTCAACTTGGATATTGACTTGATATCTCTTGTACCTATTCCGCACATCGAAGCGTCCATAAGGTATAAAATCAAAGAGTGCATTATAACAGTCCACCAGGAATATGGCCACACAATTACTAAAATAAAGGCATATCTTGGGCGCAAAAGAGCGTTTGAAATAGTCTATGGTAACTGGGATAAGTCATTTACGGATCTGCCTAGGTACATGGCTGCATTGCAGCACTTTAACCCCGGAACAGTTATTGAATGGAAGCTTGAGCGGAGTCCGGGTAAACTAGAATATATATTCAATTACGTGTTCTGGCCGTTTAAGCCAGCAATTGATGGTTTCCCGTATTGTCGGCCCGTAATATCCATAGACGGAACTCATGTCTATGGAAAGTACGATATCAAG